TGGGAACAGCGGCCCCGGGGGTCCTTCCCCAGCCCTGCTGTTGCCAAGTGTCCCGTGGCCTCTGTCCTGGACACCACTGCGCAGGGGCAAGGGCAGTTCCCGGGGAGACCTCACCCGCCCTTCCCGGGCCTGAGCCCCGGCCAGAACCCCAGCCTCATCCCGCCTGCCCAGCCAGCCCCTCCCCAGGGTCACTGGGAGCCCAGCACGGCACCAGCCCCGCCAGGGATTTAAATGGGTCAGTTAAGGAAGAAAGGAGGAGGGAATGCGATGCCATTAATTGTACCCCTTATCTCCTGTTTCTATGCCAACCAGACGTTCCTAGGGCTTGACGGACTTGTGAATAATACTCCCGGCTGGCCTATCTTCCATCGACAGGCCTCCTCCTGGAGGCAGCTGTTGCCCGCCGATTGGTATCACCAAGCCCAGCCTTGGCCTGGGCCCCTGCCCACCCAGCCACCATACCCCGGATCTTCCTGGGGCTGCCCCAGGGTGCCTGTCCCCATTTCACAGAGGGGGAAACTGAGGCCACAGCTGGGCCTTCCACCACTCTCGATCAGATAAATGACCTAATGGATACACAGCATGAAATGAACGTGGACTCAGATCACGGCTTTGCCACTTACTGGCCATGGGACTATGGGCAAGGCCTGCCCCATGAGAGCCTCCGTTTTCCCATCTGCACAGTGGGGGTAGTGATGTTACCAGCCTCTGAGCACAGCTGTGAGAATGGAAGGGAAGCATGTCGTCTGGGCCAGCTGCCACCGTCCCGCCCTCCTCAGCATCTTACTGGGCAGTCAGGTCAGATCTGCGGTTTCCAGCTTATCTGGGATGGAGAAATCCTGTCTCCCAAACTCTCTCTCAGAGAGTGAAGCACTTACAGGGTCTCATCTGGGAAGCAACCCCCCACCCCACACCCCACCCCCCTGTAGCCCACAGAGCTCACTCTGCCAGCCACTGGTCATGGCTAGCCCTCTTCCTGGCCGGCCTTCCCTTCTGCCCATTCCAGCTCCAGCTTGCCAGGCTGTGCCACCCGTGGCATGCTGCCTGCCCTCTCT